TTATAGTACAGATTACGGTCATCTTTTATAACGGGCATATTAAAAATGAAGTTAAATCTGGTATTTTAGATTCGTAAAGTATTCAATTCGTAGTACAGCAAATAGAGTTTCACCATTCTTATTTCACACCTTTCAATAGGGGAAATTGAGAGTATAAATACAACCAAAACAAATACCATATCGCAATATTCGAACAAAAGTGTCATGTGTGCTAAAGTCATAAATGATTTCCAATAAATACGCTCACCACGGGACGCCCCACTGCTGGGAGACGCCGATGGAACTGTTTGTACAGAACCACGCAAATATTGACTCGCGAATCCGCGTTCTGGAGGGTGATTTAATTAAATCGTCGCTTTCAAGCTTTATTCGTTTAAAATATTCCATTTATTTCGTACTGGAATTTAACGTTGAAGTGTAAGCAAAACTTTCATACAACTTTTCAGTCATTAATCAAAGTCAAACAATCTCAGTACAGAGTACCCTAGTTTGCCACCCTTAGAGGTGGGATATTTTCTTTAAATTAAAATGGGATCACTATTGAGGTACCCGCTTTCCAACAAAAAAGAAATCATCGAAATCACTTCACAAATACGCCTGTCTAGTTATCGCGTAACACAGATACAAAAAAAAATACAGTCTATAACCTCCTCCCTTTTTTGAAGTCGGTTTAAAATAATGTAGATAGATAGATAAAAACTTTATTCACTTCCATGACAACTTGTATACATAAGATCCACTAAAACTAACACCATAATTATTTTTATGTTGAAACACTTAAAATAACAAATTTTTAGAATAAAAGCAACGTATAACTTACACATATAACTAATTAAAGTAAATAGTTTTGGAAGTCATGGCAGTGAAAAGGCGCTGGCTCAGCATAAATGCCGCGGTTTCCCACGACCCTGGTATTCTGCCAGAAACGAAAATTATTTCGTTTATTATTTTTATGTACGGACAACGGCACATCAGACTACACATTTTTGTACGAAAATCGCCTCCAGTGCAACGGAACAAGGTACGTCAATGTGTAGCTTTATGTGCTGGCATACGCCACATTATTTCCTAAGTCAACGAGGTATAAAAAAATTGTTTTCATTGTTTGACAAGTTTCAAAGATTGATCAGTGACGTAATAAAAAGAGTTAAAGTGTTTATTAATAATAAATTGGTAATACCAATGCGTGTTCAGAGGGTGTTTTAATGAAATTAAAACATGGTGCCAATAGATATGTATATGATAGCTGACTTAGCTTCAGGGTATGGTTGGATTTGATCAGCAGCGTACTGGGTTTGGCGAACGGCATGCGGTCTGGGCTTCACCCAGTGATGATATTCGGTTGGCAACCTCGCAGCTCTTCGTGATTATAGATATTGTAGTAATAGTGAAAATACGTAAAACATTTTTTGACCCCCATACGCCAATTTTCAGCCTGGTAGCAAGTTTTTTCAGCGCCGGTTTCAAATCCACCATCTTGATATATTCTGGGCAGCTGTTTATTACTTAAAATACTGATATAAAACAAAAAGAATTAAAGAGTATGAACAAAAGTCCAAATCAACAGACCATAATATATCGCAGCGCTACGGTTAGTTATTACTTCTTAAATAGCATTTTCACATTATTAGAGGAATTAAATTTATTTTATTTGAAGAATTATTTCAGTCAGAAGATAAATTAGTAAATAATGTATTCGATTTGTTTTTGATTCTAAAGTCATTTAGAAAAAAGTACGAAAACGTTTTAAATTTTCATACCTTAGAAAATAAAAACAAACTGATATAAAATTATTTATATAATCCGCTAATGTTAAAATAGACCATTCAAGGGAACGTTCGTGTAATTCGAATGAAAACCCTGTCTAATATAATATTAATATCCCACTGTTATTACATTGTACAATAACACAATCCTCCGCGATGAGTGCTTGGAATGGTTTCCTCATACATAATTTATAACATGACGACGAAACTGTAATTAAATTTAATATGAGATCTTCCGTATGTCATAGTCTCGGATTTCCGAGCTACATTGACTAAAACATATTTTTTTCATATTAGGTTACTTGATTTGTTATAAACTCATAAATTCATAAAGCTATATTTACACTTATTTGGGTTTCCAGTGAAACAAATGTACAAGTTTACCAATAAGTTTTATAGTCAAGTATAAAATTTCAAAAATCCATTAACGAATGTCAACAAAGTTCGTTTTAAAAATTTTCATAACAAAATCCGATGCGTTATTGTAAAGCTTTCCCCGCTTTTATTTCAGCAACAGTCAAGTAAAATATGAAGCAGTTTTATTAAGATTCTTATACCCTTCGCTTATGTTTAAGGGTGAAAAAACCAGTTTATGACGACCCGTGGGCGATTTTCGAATTCTTACACCGTTATTTATTATTCAGTTCTTAATATGTTGGTTGGCTTGGCGCTCTCTTGCCGCCCAGTGCCAACTAATTGATATTAAATAATAATGATTTACCAAGGGAGAAATACCGTTCATGCATTATTTATGACTCTCCAGTTGTGCAGATTTAAAAGCATCTGTTTTTATATTGCTATTCATAGCTTTTTGTTATTTCTGTACTCCAGAGTAATTGAATTTTTGCCGCTACTGTTTTTATTCTCTTATTAAGTTACTTTAAGCTGAATAACGAACTTTTAAATTAGTAAAGAAAGAAGATGGTGTACTTAGGTCATCCTCAATAAATAAATATGTTACCTGTTCAATGCACATAATTTATAAGCACAATTAATTCAACTACAATAACGTTATGTTAAATTCATTTTACCACAGCTAATAATACTATTATTGCAAAAGGCTTATGCAATGCTTTCGAATATTGAGTGGCTTTATCCCCAGATATCCGTCTAGGGGTTGTTTTTCTTCAATCTCGTACAATAACAACGTCAAAGTAGGTGTGTCCTGTGTGGGCGGGTTCATTGAACCCTTTGGAACTTGGAATATCGGTAAAACTTTCTTGTATACATTGTATACTTGTGCAATTGAATCTGCTTTTCTTTCTTTTTAAATATTCTGTTGTCTTTTGAATATTCTTTTAAAATGAATTGTTCGGAAATGGATCGGTAATGAGCGAATGAAACTACTTACCTACTCTACTATATTACGTGTAACCAAAAGATTTTAAAAGCATGTAATAATTGTAAAAAAAATATATTTCTATATTCCACTGTAACATTAGTCAAAATAAAAAATGTCTTTTCGCTAGTTTTGTTCAACGACAAGAAAATTACAAAAACCCTCGTAGGGGTAACGTTGTTCATTATTGTCCCAGACAACCCCAGGGACAAGATGACAGGTTCATGCATCGGTCACGTGACCGGCACGCGGCCGTCACGCGACGTCGTCGAATATTTGTCAAACGGAATAAAATATCGCGAACTTAAAATATTCGCTTGCTATAAGTGTGCAGTTGCAATAGTTCATTATTCATCTTGTTTCTTATATTCTATTTCAGAAACTTGATAAATAATTTGGAAATAATATAACTGGATATTAATTTAGCATATCAGAAAGTAGCTTTTGAATACCAACCGCATAATAAATCTCCTCAAGTGCCTTAGCTAACTTGTGACTTTCAGTATTATTATTGTACTTTGATCTCTTGAACAATTTTTGACGCAATAACACCCCAACCAAACAATTTTTCCCGTGTGCAGTGACTCCCCGGGGTTCATTGAGCAGTCCCTTCCACATGATTTACCCTCGCCGCAGGGGCTGTCAAGTCATCCACGTGCGATATGTCGTCATCCCTTGCGACCGGTAACTAGGTGCTTTACCCTAGCACAGTCACTTTATTACATGCTCGTTTGTCTTATACGGCTCTGGTCACGTCTAAAGTAAGTACTTACGCATCTTTTTCGATTTTAGAGTTTGTTCATAAAAAAAATATTACACAATATTTGTATTGCTACAGCAATTCTAATCTTGAATTCCTTCACATAATGGTGGAAATGAAACGAAACAGAAGTTTTATGTGGAAGATTCGTATCAGTCATTTTTTGAACCGCATTGCAGTACGAATATCTTAGACGGAAAAAAAAAAGAAACGAATGTATATGTACAGGGAAATAAAAAATATGGCCGAATTGACGTTTGGCAGCTCTATCGATCAAATTGCTCAACTACGTTTCAATTTACACAAAAGTTTTTAGGAGGAATTTCCTTGACCGTTTCGGTCTACCCGGTCGCCGTCTGCACATTTGGAATTTTATAGCGTTCATTGCTTTTACAGTTCTAATTTCTTTTAGTATGAACCGAAAATTGGAATGTGGTTAGCAAACGGAATGTAGGGAACAACTGAATGATGTAAATGCCTCGTTGGCAGAGGGCCAGTGATCGATCGGTAACAAGGCCTCCCAGACAGACTCGGGCACAGCGCTGATTTTATCGCAATTTATTGCACTGCAAAGCAAAAGGTCAAAGTGGTAACTATTAATTACTCACTGACCTTGGAAATAAGCTGCACAATATTTTTTTTGAGGAAATGCAACTGTTTTTCCGGATTTAAATCGCGTATATTTGTTTATTCAAACAAACCGACGTTTCGGGCCCTTAACAGTTCCATTTCGTTTAAATTTTTTATTTTTATTTTTTTTTTTTCATTTAAATCCGGAAAAACAGTTTCATTTCCTATGTGTAACAGTCGCGAAAACCTAAGAGCTCGATATTTTTTTTGAGTTTTATAACTATAAATTTAGAATATATATGTACATTTAGATTTATTGAATTACGCCCCAAGGTTACCTAACCTTTGAGGCGTTTCAATAAATCGTAACTTATACGTTAATGCAATGATTTAATAATATTAGATAAAGTAGATTAATTTTCTTTGTTACATACACAAACCTTAAAAAAGTAATTTAAATCTGTATAAAAACTATATTGTTAAAACCGATTTTAATCTCAAAAGGAATCGTAAGATTTGAGTGATTTATGAAACATTCAAAGAGAGAAATTTGTGATCGTTTCAGGGGATTCGCGATCGCTGCAGGTGGAGGGCGTAGCGTTCGAGCGTGCCGCCGAGCTGTTGCGCCGCTCGCCCGAATTCACAGTGCTCGCCGCGCTGCGCCAGGAGCCTGCTAACTCCGGCACCATTCTCTCTTTTTCGCATGGGTACAATAGGTAAGAGAAAATGAGAGAGTACATAATATGCTGTTATCACCATTTAAAAACAACCATTGTTTTATTAAAAAAATACATAAATAATCGTTTAGCATGTTATTCTTTCTTTTGTATGTCGACATAGCGTTACATAAATTGTGATGACTTATATAGCTTTAGGTAAATGTACCAAATCGTAAAGAAATAATTCCACTTTATGACCACACTGCTCAATATAAAGCCCTGCCTACGTTCTGCGTAGCGTCATCGTAGCACTCTCATCCGTAGCGCCGCGTGTAGCAATTTTATTTAGTTTTGTGGTACAATAAAGTATTTACATACACACACAAAATATCCGACTGTTTTGTTAATTAAGTTGAATACACAGATTTAATGATAATGTGATTTATTTGACATTGGCTAGAGGATTGGTATGAAATACCGTCGTGAACGACGCTTCAACGCGGACATCGGAGAAGCAATGCCTGGAAGCGGAACAAGGAGCGACCGACCGGTGAGTTCTAGATCTCAATATCGCTGCACGTGCACGCATCTCGCCTCGTGCGGGATACGTGCGCGCGCATAGGGGAGAATCATGTATCTTGGAATGTCCTGTGCCTCGGAATGTCCTCCTCGATCCATCCGTTAACCTCTTTGCGCTCACTGTGACCTCTGCATGTCTGTACGTACGCGCGGGCGGGCCGGTTTGCATGCATCCGCCAGCCTTTCGCGCCCGCGCTCCTTGGCCGCAGTCCGTCTTGTGTTCTGTGTCTTGACGTGTTGTGCTCTATCTGTCTAACCCCTCACGATCCGTCTCAGTGTTCACCTGGATGTTGATGTTTGTCATACCGCAGTTAGCCGCGGGCCCGCGCTCGCTTAGAGGGGACACCGCCGCGCTCGTCCGCACTTGCATTCCAAGCGACATGGGAATCCGTACTGTGTATCTCGTGCTGTGTCCGACGATATCACCGGCAACCCCTCGCTCCGACCGTGAAGGTCGCTCTTGTGAGCCGCGTCTGGATTGGCGGCTGTCTTTACAATGTAAAACTTCCTGGTGAAATCGGACACATAGCGAGACGCGCCGTTTATTTATAGTAATCTATCAGACTCGACACCGAACTCGATTCGTTCCGAGGTACATGGTCCCCTATTCAGGCCGAGCGATATTGAGATGTAGAGCGAGCCGAGGTCCGCTCGCAGCCGGTCCCCGTTTGCCGCCCGAATGTGTGTGTTGTTTGCTTTGTTTGTGTACCTCGGAACAGTTCGTGAAGAGGAGCGAGGCATTTGGCGCAGTGCCGGTCAATGTAAGCGTGATCTGGCGGTCGCAGGTACCTGGAGGTGCAGTCGAGTGGACGGCGAGATGAAGTGCGGCTGCACTATGTAGCTGCAGGCGCGTCTGTAGCGCGCGTCGAGACATTCCCATTCCGGCTGGCGGACGGCGCGTGGCACCGACTGGCGCTGGCCGTGTCAGGCGCGCAAGCCACGTTGCTCGTCGATTGCCATCCACTCTACCGCCGCCTTATCCCGCCACCTGATCGCAACTTCACGCAACCACAGCTTGCACTGTGGGTTGGACAACGAAATAGCAAACATTCATTATTTAAGGTGAGTGATAACCGAATCTTAAATCTTACATTCTTTTAGGTAAAATCGTTAAAAAATGTTCCAGGCACCAATTTCTAAACCGAATTTTATTTCTAGGGCACGCTGCAGGACGTGCGGCTGGTTAGCGGGCCGCACGGGTACCTAGCGCAGTGCCCCGGGCTGGACTCGGAGTGCCCGACGTGTGGCCAGTTCGCATTATTGCAGGCCACGGTCCAAGAGCTCACCACACATATCCATGACCTTTCACTTAAGGTGAGAGTCTATTTAGTTTTTCAGGAAGGATAAAACCGCGTCTCTGATCATAAATACATACCGTCAAACGTGTGGTATATATAATGCCTTGTGATTTACCTTAAATGCGTTCGAACAAAATAATATCAATTTGACTATTCGTTATAGTTAGTTGGTGCCGAGGCAAGACTGGCGCGGTTAGAGCAGTGCGACTGCCAGAAGTCTTGTTTTATCAACGGCACTGCCTTACCCGACGGTTCCACTTGGGAGAAGGATTGTAATCACTGCACCTGTAAAGTAAGAACTTACAATACAAATTGCTCATTATTGGCTATGATTTCATTCCATATGATTCACTGAAACAAATTTACGTGTAGCGTTTTCTTGGCAACAATCTTTTACTACTTTTATGGATTTTGGAACCCTTCCAACTGGGAACATTGTAATGCACCGTTTTACGCAACAATATAACTGATGTCAAATTTGAAAATTACAGCACGGTGAGATTACGTGCAGACCAGTAGAATGTGAACGAGTGGAGTGTAAAAATCCAGTTTTACATCCTGGAGAATGTTGTCCTACATGTTTACGTAAGTATTTGAGCCATACTGCCACCTTTACTCGACAGAGCGCACGTGACATAAAAAAAAATGTTATGTATACTGCCGTGATCAGTAAAAAAAAGGCGGATCTATTGCTATTTTTTTTCTAAGTGGATAAGGTAGGAAGTTATCGCAATAGAAAAGTAGATATTTTTCATTTCTTCAAACATAATTTTCTCGGTTTTAATTAAGTTTTTGTCTCAAGCGTTCTTTCAACTCACGGCGGCAGCATAGCCTACGTCGGAAACGATACGTGACATAATCCTTATGCCTGCAATTCATAAATTTACTACCGATTTCAGGACAATGCCTTCTAAAACAAACACTATACGAGCACGGCGACCGTTTCGTGCCAAAGGAATGCGCGGAATGCGTCTGCCACGACGGAAACATGCAGTGCACGCGAGCGGACCCTAACACGACCTGCCCGCCGCTGCCTTGCGAAAAGTCACTACAATTCACAGTGCCTGGCGAATGCTGTAAATTTTGTCCCGGTAAAAACATTATCCGACTTTTACTGATGAGCACGTATTGAGAATTTTAGTAAACAGTACACGACAATCTTGCATAACAATTACTCCTATATGACGTCATTTAGGATTTAATCTTGATGGACGTTTGAATTAAATGTCTTGATTTCATAGTTTTCAGATATATTCAAGTTTTTAATGCTTTTGCGTTTTTTGTTTAACACAGGTGTGGACTACTGCAGTATGGGCCATACTTGCGACGAGAATGCGACTTGTATGAATCTCAATACTAAATACACCTGCAAGTGCAACCAGGGCTTCCACGGCGATGGCTACACGTGTGAAGGTATCTCTTCGTATTAGTAAACTAAATAACCTTAATATTACTTCCATATATTGTTTCCGCATAAAATTTGTCAAGAAAAATTACTTTATAATGATTAATACAAATTTAAAATGCAACGAGTAGCGACATCTCGAATCGGGCCGGATCGAAGGAATTTTTCTGAGTAAAGTTCGAACTTTGTATTAATCATTATAACAAACTAGTGGAATAATTTCACATAAAAAATATTTTTTTTTTTTTTTTTTTTTAATAATAACGCTCACAATCAACATAGCCCCGCACTAGGGAAACCCTGTGTCGCGGGTGCCATGGACACACACATAGACAACCACAAATTACACCCAAACTCACGAGAGAAATAAATGTAGGCCATACAAGTATTTCTCCCGGCCCGGGAATCGAACCTGGGACCTCTGCGTGGCAGTCCGGCATGGTAACCGTTCGGCCACGGAGGCAATTGAATATCAATACAATAAAAATTTAAAATTAATTACATTGCTACTATAACCATATCAAGTTTTAGTATATTACGATCATTATTATTTTTCTTACGATCGTTTAATTCAAATTGACTCTCTTGTTCAATATTTCAGACGTAGACGAATGCCAGCAAGCGGGTGGGTTATACGGACATCACTGTCACTCCAATACGCGGTGTGTGAACGTGTTCGGCGGGTATGTTTGCCAGTGCCTACCGGGATATGCCAGGAGAGACAAATTTAGTTGCGTTGAGGTAACTCATTGTGACTTTAACAATATTTTTAAAAGCATAATCAGATTATAGAATCGTAGACAACAGTAGTGAGAAGTACAAAGTATAGTACTTAAAATCCTCCATTACGCTTTCTAGGTAGACGAATGTGAAGGTGACACACACGGTTGTCATATTTACGCAAATTGCACTAATACACCCGGCTCTTATACATGTCGGTGTCGAGACGGTTACATTGGTGATGGATATACTTGCACGCGTAAGTTTTATTTGAGTATGTTGTATCCTACTTAAACCAAGTTTTCCGAGGAACGATATCATTACTCTTTCATTTAAACAGAATTCTATAAATCTCAGTAATTAGTAAGGTTTTAAGACTTTCACGGTTATTCACTAATTACGGTTTCTACGACTCTTTTTTGTTTTCCCGATATCCACTGTGAACTGGTAATCGGTACTATCTCAATTTTGACAACTTTACGGGATAAAGAAAAAAATGTTTGCGTCGTTTATATAGCATCTGATTTATTAAATAAAAATACGTAGTTTTTAAATGTTTTTATTACACATGTATGTATGTACACTACGTATTTTTATTTAATAAACCAGATGCTATATAAATGATTTTTTCTTCGCCTGTAAAAATGTCAAAATTGAGATAGTACCGGTTGCCAATTCACAATCGATATGCAAATAAACAAGTCGGAAAAGGTACTTTGGTTGCAGCCCCTCTAGGCTTACCTCCATCTAAACCGTGAGGTGGCAGAGTACTGAATACGAGGTTGTGCGTATAAAACACGACAGCTAAACTAAGAACGACCTTAATATATGAAAATATAACATTAACACCTGCATGTACAAGGTGCGTGGTTACCCAGAAGGCGTCCGTTTACCGTTACTTTGAGGGCAACGGGCACTATAAAGCACAGATGCTTATGCCATATGCTTTATGTGTACAGCAATTTGCACGGGTGGGTGCCTAAACGGCGGTGAATGCGTGGCACCAGAGCAGTGCGTATGCGCAGCGGGGTTCGGCGGCGCGCGCTGCGAGCGCGACTTGGACGAATGCGTAGCGCCTGTACACCCCGCCGCACGCGCGCCCTGCGTGCCCCGCGCCCTCTGCGTCAACACGCCTGGCTCGTACTACTGCGTCTGCAAGGAAGGCTACAGGAGGGACCCGCAAAGAGATCATTGTGAAGGTAAATAATTGTATGTTGGAATTTACGCTTGTTTCATTTGCCACTTCTCTGCCGCAAATGGATGAACTCGTGTTTCAGAGCAGACAATTTAACTGTAGTTGAAGTTTTAAAGCTCAATTTACCGAAAGGCATAATAATAGTAACGTGCACACACTCATAGCCCCGCACTAGGGAAACCCTGTATCGCAGGTGCCACGGACACACACATAGACAACCACAAATTACATCCAAACTTACGAGAGAAATAAATGTAGGCCATACAAATATTCCTCCTGGCCCAGGAATCGACCGGGACCTCTGCGTGGCCGTCCAGCATGGTAACCGTTCGGCCACGGAGGCGATAATAATTGTTAAGGAAAATAAAAGTGACGCATTAGTAAATAGTGAAAAGACTTAAAATTATTTCCAGATGTTGACGAGTGTGCGGAAGGTTTTCACACGTGTCATCCAAGTGCACGTTGTGTCAATACGGATGGAGGGTTCCGTTGCGAGTGTGAAACACAACCTTGCGAACTTAGTGAGTTAATTTTTTTATTATACCATCTTATAATGATAGAATTAAGTTTGAACTTTTAGTATAATTTATTAATTTAGTCTAAATAACAGAAATGTAAAATGAGTCGGTACCAGAGTACCAGAGTAGAGTATGGGAGGATGATTTAAATTACAACTACGAGGCGTGATGGGCTGATGGAGCACATTAGCGGTCGTAGGCCGTACATTGCCTTGTCAAACATTACTATCACGTCTCAAATAACACCAGAGTAAACTTACATGATTAAATCACAGACAAATGCAACAAATTGTGAACGCTACACTTGCAGGTTGTATATGGCAAGGACAGACGGTGGGCGAGGGCTCGCGCTGGGTGGAGGAGAGCGGGTGCCGCGTGTGCTCCTGTGCCGCGGGAGTTGCGACCTGCACACGCGCGATCTGCCCTTGCGACGTACCCGACAATACTACTGCTGCGGTAAGTGTTTAAATAAGACTAGGTATAATCGCAAACAAAAATTAATTAAATAACAAATAAACATATATTAGACAACATCACAAACGTTGCCTTGATTCAGGAGTAAATTACTAAAGCACTTGTGTTATGGAAATCGGAAACAACGACGGTAACACAAACACTCAGACCTGAGATAATATAGAAAAGTTCGTTTTCTAAACTGACCTGGCCGGGGTTCGAACCCGGGATCTCAGAGACGGCGACACCGTGAAAGGTGTGTCCGGTGTGCAAACCACTCGACCACGGAGGTCGTCAAAATGCATCAAAACTATTAAAGAGGCTTGTAGACAAGAAATTACCTTTGTCTCCTAGACAACGTGCCAATCTTTTCGGTTTTTCGTATACCTGTGCCTTTTTAATATGCATGCCTTTGAATAGGCCTTTTCAATTAAATCGTTGAAGAAAAATTTAAATCTAAGGTCTGGCTTACACGTCTTAGCCTGTCTCAAAGGACGAAAAATTTTACAACTACAAATATGAATTTGTCAAATTCATCAACTTCAAAAGTGTTTTTGACAGCAAACACAGTTACATACTCACTTTAACAAGTTTCACTGTATAGTGAGAAACTTTATAAAAAAACATAATATATTGTATTATCTGCGTGATTATTCGATCTATGGAAAGTCAACATTTTGGTCACAACCTGTCTAAATGGGTCCCACTCTCGTGGACTCCCATTAACGTTTCATGCACCCCCTATTTTTTTCGGTGACATTAACCCCTTGCATGATGAAGTGGGCCCCTGGGGGCGATATAGATCACTTTGGTAACCATCGGTGTAAACGGTTGAAGTCAATTCCTTTTTGGAATTTAAATTACTTTCTTTTTTGTCCGATAATGACACAAACTAGTAGGCTTGTATAGTTCATGAACTACGAACTAATAACAATATATTCCCGACACTGACCGGTTGGGCGTTGGTTGGTTTTAATAGTTCATCGTTCTTTTTAGTTCAGTACGAACTAGGAACTGTCTGCGTTGATAGTTCATCTGTCTTTTATTCAGTAGGAAGGGTGCGAGAGGGACAATTCGCGATCTTTCACTGCTTTTAGTACAAGTTCGAGTGAGATGCACGACTGATCGTCGCCAGCTCGTTCTAAGTCTCTAATACGTATCTACATTATGTATATACATTAAACTTGCAAAAAAGTAAGTGCTCATATTTTTTGGTAGGTGTGTTAGTTATCTGTATGTATAATATTATCAATATTATCTACGTGTACGAGTATATGAAATAGTTGTACCTAAATATCAATTTTTAAACACCATTTTAACTAAAATTCTTGTTTTGTAAAAAAGGATATTTAGTTAGAATGACAGTCTTTAAACCTGTGAAATGTGAAGGAAAATCAAATAGTACCGATTCTATACTATAATAAATAATAATAATAATAATAATCCGGTATTTGTGAACCGATTTCGATGATTTTTTTTGTTGGAAAGAGGGTACCTCCATAGTGGTCCCATTTAATTTTGAAGAAAATCACCCACCTCTAAAGGTGGCTGTTCACGCATAAAGATTCATTTTTATAAATAGCTCCTAAATTTTATTATAAGGAGCAATTATTTTAATGGTTGATTTTGCTATTCTCCTATTCAAGGCGTTTATCTCTCTCAATATACTTTGAGTAGTGAGAACCGATTTTCATTATCTCCTGTGTCAAGTTCGTGTAGTGGCGAACTAGAGGTTATCCGAGTTTGCGCACTTTCCGGTAACCGATTTCAATAAATCTTGGCAAATAGATGTAATTCCACGTACTTTTGAGGTCGGTTTTTTTAGTACTCTGTACTGAGATTAATAAATATTTAGTAAAGTATACTATTGACCTCATAATACTAAAAGTTCTTAGTAGTTCATGTCAATAAAATTACTAGTTTGGAGCGTTCATTCAATGTCCGAGCAAGGACAAGACGAACTAACTAACTAAGGAACTAGATGAACTAAATTAACTAGAAGACCGACCTAGTTCAGTTGACCAATTGGACTAACTAGAATCGCTCCCTCTAAGGACCGATCAGGCACAAGTCTACAAACTAGGATGATCCCTATGACACTTCATTTGACGTTTGTTATAGAGACGAGGTGAAGTCATCTTAGTGTATTTGATTTTTCAAAGGTTCTCTAGTAAATGCAGTGTAATATGAAATAAACTTTACACGTTGTCGTGAATTACGAAATTTTTTCAAAAGTATTTCCGCTCTTTTCTCACAAATGAACATTGATTTGCTGTTATTTTTACTTTAATGTATTTACTTAAACAAAGACTATTCATTTAAAAGCGAGGATTATAAAAATAGTATATGAAATATGTAAATTAGTGCACGTCGTTACAAGGTTATATTATGTTGATTTTTACTAACTGTCACGGAGATCATTTTAGATTATTTTTAGTATATTATTTATTCTCCATTTATATGGCAAAGTTGTACTGTGTTTTACAGTTAATCAGCACAGAGTCATCGATGAGCGTAGCGCCTGGTGCGTGCTGCCCGCACTGCGACGCGCGATATCACTGCCGCCACCAGGAGATGCACCATGTCACATTTCGCAGTGGCGAGCGTTGGCTTTACCAGTGCCAGATCTGCGAATGCCTCGTTAGTATGCTGTCTTTAGATGTACTATTTTAGGTTTCGCTGACTTGGTTATCTCACTCTCCGTAGTTTCCCGGAAATCATGATTAATAGATAGCGTGAATGAAAGATCTTCTTTCTATAACTCGCAAAAAAGTTCGCAAGGGCCTAGCTGATAACAGTATTATTCTAGTAATAAGAAGACACGCCGTTGTGTTGCAGCTTGGAGAGGTTGACTGCTGGGAGCCAGAGTGCGAAGAAGGCGGGGGTTGTTGCGGCGCGGATGGCTCGGGGGGCGCGGCACCGCACCGCCTCGGGCTGGCCGGCTGTGCACCACCGCACTGCCAGCAGTGCCAGGTGACTGCTGCTTCTTGCCTTAAATATGCGTCCAAGCACTGCTCACTAATCTCAAATGTTGCTTAACACTCTCAGCGCCATAGAACAATTTTCCTGAAGTAGCAGGCCATGTGGGCGGCGAGCGGGACACGCATATTTTGTCATAGCACACCACGCCTGATCTTAAATAACTTTTGCAGCAGGATATGTGGGCGGCGCGCGGGTTACACATTTTTTTCATAGTACGCCGCGTCTCATCTTGAGCAGAATGACGTATATACATATTTTTAATGCACACAGTCATAGTCCCACACTAGGGAAACCTTGTGTCGAGGTTGCCATGGACACACACATAGACAACAAATTACACCCAAACTCACGAGAGAAATAAATGTATTTAATTTCTCCCCCGGACCCGGAAATAGAACCTTGGACCTGTGCGTGGCAGTCCAGCATAGTAACCGTTCGGCCACGGAGGCAGTTTAGCAACTTTTGTAGCAGGCCATGTGGACTGCCGGTGGGACACCTCCAAACTTTACCAGCACGCCGCTTGGTACGCGCCGTGATCCTATCAAAAAACAGACTAATAGAGAGATCGATACTTGATTACGATCTGGATCTGGCCTGCTAAGTAAAATTAGAAAATACGTGGTGGCCTGCTGCACTTGGGATTTTGTGGGCTGCCGGCGGTCCAAAGACGCTGAGAGTGTTAAATCTCGCCAATATCAATTTCATCTTCTTATATGCTAACGAAGCATTAAGTAAGCGCTTTGATAAGCGAGCATTAGCTTATTGCATTTCGTCACGCATTACTATTAAAATTATTCAGTTTCAGTGTTTTATGTCAACCAAAAGTAAAACAAAGAAATGCACGAGAAGAGTTTGTACATAACATATAACGATTCTAACGATCGCTTCAGTTTCATGTAACTCCTATGCTTAATGTCGTTTGTGATGGAAGTGTTGCGACTGAGCTTCGGCCGAGTGACCGCTTCCGATATATTCGGTGTGTGAAGCGTCCTTTCCGCTTGTTGCAGGGCGGGCAGTGTGCTACTTTGGTGAGCAATCTCGCGTGTTGTGTGCATCGGTAACCATTCCCACTCTTATTATTCATTATTACATCTGCTCTATTAACACGTGTTTATTTCAACGCTTACGTCTTCGATTCGGTGTTTTTAGTAGGACTCAGTTTTGTATCAAATGACAAAATCCAATATTATAAATGTAAGAATATTACACATTTTTCACAAAGCTAAGTCTGTTGTCCACAGTGGAGTCTAAATTGTAAATTTGGCGCTCAACAATGGACCGCTAGAAATGTATGCAAAAACGAATCGAAGATAAATTCATTTCAGGTATTTTTTTATGTTGCATGTGTTATCTTTTCCCATTCGTCATTCATCAGGCATGAGACCGTCATTTTCACAATTATCAAACTCAGCGCCTTCAACTGAGCATGCTTTAGAAAACAATATAACGGTTATGTTATTCTCCTCGTATCGAAGTCCACAATACGTCTAGTCATATTTTTTCATTACAGTCATTAGAATAGTGTACCTAGTAGCACTAGACTTCCAATATCGAGTTCACCTACATTTCCCCTACGAATGAGAATGAATTAATTTTTTCGTGCCCCTGTTGTCGATATGGTCGGCATGGAGTCGAGTGGGTGAGTGGTTGTTTGGCTTGCGTAGAGGCCGGAGGCGCGACGCGACGGCGCTGGCGGCGGCGCTGCTGGCGCTGTGGTGGGGCTGGGCGCGCCAGTGGGCGCGCTGGGCGCGGCGCGCGGCGCACCGCAAGCACCGCGGCGCGCGGCGCTAGAGCCGCCCTGAGCGTCTCCTCACGCAAATATTTATTCTAGATAGACCTAAAGTTAACCAATTGCGGCGGGCGCGAAACCCACTCACGGCCTTAACTCAGCGAGCGGGGCCGCGCCCGCTCGTGCGGCGCCCGAGACCGCCTTGTGATACTGTATTATACGGAGCGGGGTGCGATATAGTGTCGATTATATCAAAGTATTTTATCTTCGTTATAGCAATATTATAATAGTGTTATCGAGTAGCTAGGGTTCATAGGACAGAGTGCCGCGAGTGTCGATCGAGTGATGCCTTCTAGTGTAATCGGCGGGCGCGGGGGCGCGGGCGCCGCCGAGGTTGTGATAAGCTAAGCGGGGGCCGCCTCCCGGCGCGCCCACCCCGCCGCTGCAATAATCTTCGAATTCTAAATTTAAACAATACGTCGATCGCTTCAAATTATTATTATACTAGACTTATTAACGGTACTATTTAGCTGTATTGTTGTGAATATTGGTAGGGAGCGTGGAGTTGGAGGGCTACGGCACGGGCGCCGGACGCTACCGCCAGCGGCCGCACAACCCCACTATGTAATCTGCAAGGGTCCATTTCATATACTTCGGAAGAGCCCGATTAAAGCATTACATTAACATCCCGTCGCCCGTGCCCTGCACCCCGTTGTACGAAGTTTTTCATTATATACCTATTATAGTTTTTGTTTGTCTATATAGAATCGTTTTCTTGAATAATTTGAAAGTAACCAAAAATAGGTACCAAATATAGAAAGATGATTATGATTGTTTCTTAATTTTCATAAAGCATTTTGATGCTTCATGTTGTATTGTGTTCAAAAAATTTCAATTAAAAAGATTACCCTCGAATTTTTTATTATTTAGTGTTCATCCCCTAAATATTCGTAAAATTAGAGTATTTTTTATTAAATATCGAATGATTTTTATGAAACAAAGGATATAGTACACGGGGAAACAAATACTTAAGTACAATGAAAATAAAAAATTATATCTGTAAACACATTAACGAATTTTATTTAAAACGTTATGGTTGGTTTGAGCAGGGAATGAGAAATCTAAATAATTTTTAACTTAAATAAGCGCTTTGATAGCAGAGTCCTAAAGATACCTACAACTAACTATACCAAATATAAGTTGGATGAATAACTAACTTACCTATAGCTCTTTGGTTGAAACATATTTTTGCACAAGTCTAGTATCATTGTAACATCCTCTTTTAAGAAATGTTTACTTATATAAAATTATAATTAATTTACGTGGTGTAGCATAGACAAAATGTTTATGACATGTTCTTGAGCTAATGACTTTTGCTACGAATTTTGTTTGCTCTATAACTTTGCCTACACAAAACGTGAACTGAGTTTCATTTCAAATAATCACCTAGATACAAAAATTAAAACAACAAAGAGTACTTATGCGATCTGTGTACTAGCACGTGTTACGATAAGAAAATTTGCAAATTGTAAGGTTCCACAATCAAAACAAATTACATAGTATAGTCTTACGTTGTTACACATTTCACGAAGTAGGAAACATATCCATACTAGTTATGTTTAATTAGGTATCTAAGTTGATTATCGAGCTAAAGCTTGGTAAAAGACTTAAATTGCTTGCTTATACTTGAATGTTCAAAATCAATAATATTGTAGTAGGTTCTTCATTTGTCAAATAGTTTGGTTTTGTATGAGCCCCTTACATCCAGGTTGAAGATGCGACGCTGTTTCCATTTGAAAATTATGTTTTATAAGAATTAGCTGCTCACATTTGTTGGGTGTTGGGTATAGCTGCAGGCGACGTGAGGGAGACAATGGGAGGTGCACCTGGAAACGCGGAGCCGTGCAGACATGCAAGGCGCAATGGTGTAGGCTGGTGCTTCAGCCGGGTGTCCACGCTGCGTTCCAGCACGCCCGTCACCATGGTGTACGCGCCAGCGAACAGTGTTACCGCCTGTATATAAACATCGTCCATAGAACTAGACTACTAACCTTTAGAATTATACAGACTCTATATGATCTTGTACTAGTAGCAGTAAGGCTTCTTGTGAAAGAGTTCATCCAGAGACGTACTGTCACCTTATCTATTTCTGTCGCCAAGCAGTAAAGTGAGTATTCCGTGTTTCGGTTTTGAAAGGTAAGGGCGCTGGTGAAATTACAGGCTCATAGGACTTTTCAACTTGTGTGTCAGAGTGACCGGTGCAGTGGCAGTGCCCCTCAGATCTTAGCAGTTAAAAGCTCTGATCTGCACTACAACCAGGCGCATGAATAGTTGGTCCCTTCACTTGGTATCATAAAAAAATCTACCTGCATTAAATTCAGGTGCATGGTATGGCCGCAGCTGCTATAATACAAAATTAAAGCGATGGATATTATCGAATAATATATCGGACAGCACAGATAAATTTTCTCCACAGATCCATTTTCGCAACGTTATTTACAGAGCTCGAGGCTAAGAATCTACTGTCCACTTACATTGGCGCGGAACGGAATATAAGCCAATAAAAACTAGGTACGATCCCAAAAACCGCACACTTCTTCAGAGTAATCCTCGTACAGTCTCAGGAATTCTCGCTGCTACCGTATTGTATCTTATGTGTATGCAGCCGCAGTGCCGGCTTTACCTATTTATATTTAATTACCATTTGCACCCGACTTTCCGATTACAGGGGAAAATATAAGTTTCAATTTTGATCGCGTGCTGACTAGAGGGTGCCTGGGGATTGACTGCATCCGGGTGCCAAATGGGCTAGCAACGTAGCTGTGAGTACATTACGCGATTGATATAGGAGAAGAATTTAGAATTTGTACATTTTATAAATTGTTATTTTTTATATTTATTATTTAATTAATTGTTTTAAATTGTTCAATTTATTTCTGTTCTGACATTGTATTATTGTTAATTTATTATTTTATTTTAATTTCTAATAACTCATTTGACTGTGTATTTAATTATTTTGCATGAATCATTGACCTACCAATAAATGGATATCGTGTTCGCGCTAAAAAGTGTCCGCACCTGTAGGGCGTTAAAATCGCATACAGAGCGTCAATCGCGCAATAGTCTTCGTTTGTTCGAGTGACACCGCGGTTGTCAATCATGCAGTACCAATGATAATAACTTGTAAAAATTACTGCAGTTAAATGTGAAAACAGGATTTTGTATCATATTTTCACTAAACAAATATATTATGTTATCATAGTTGTCTTTTAAAAGAGTTAATTTGAACAATTTTATAGTATTTAATTTATAAATAACTGAATCATAAATATAAATTACAAAAGCACACGAATTAATGTAATAGATATAGCTATAGCAATAGATGGAAAGAGACCCATTACGTCAGTTTCAAGAACCTTATATAAACTTCTTGGTCATTTTCAGTTGTTCGAACCACAAGCAATGTAAAATATTTAGAACAAAGAAACTGTAGAGTTGCTTTGATTTTAATCTATTGTTAAAATGATTTTTTTATTAAACGTTAGCAATAACTAACAAAATATTGTTATACTCGTTTTACGGCATGGGATTACATAGGACCTATCAGAAGTCAGAAAATATATTTGCCCGAAATAACATTAGCTCGAATTTTCATAATGTGTTCTTACGAAGATTACTAAACAAAAGCTAATTTTGTCTTTGTAAAAAGCATCAAAATTGCTTGAAAGCGTAACGGTTTTGTTATAAATCGGAATTACGGATATTTGAGTTTACGTTAAGTTAGAATATCGGTACATTTCTTATAGTACACGCTTATTTTCACATTTGTAGTAATATTTGTATGTATGTATCTGCCCAACTCTTTATTATACCTTTAAGTGAATTTGTACAAAATTCGACATAATAATATATATAAAAAAATTAATTAATATTTACGAGAAAGGCTATTCCATTACTCTTGTGTTCAAGTATTTTTCAGTCGAAGCTAAATATTATGCATTTTGTTAAGTTTCCAGTAGAAGCTGAATATGGTGTTTTGGGCCCTTAAATTGTTGTAAGCAAATTTAGGCAGTACTACAATGACGTTAACATTTAAATTAGATGTTTTAGTTTTTTATATTTCGTTACATGTCACTACGTTTGTATAGGTTAACCTCGGACATTTTTTTCGTGGTTTTTGTATTAGACCCCATGTCCATTTGTTGGTAGGTCAATGGCATGAATTAATTAATTTTAAATCCGTGACATTAAAACACAATTATGTACATTGTTAATTAATAAATTATTGAATTGATATAAAGTTTTCGGTTGTTAGGTTTTCGCGATTGTTACACACAGGAAACGAAACTATTCAAGTCGCGTATATTTGTTTTTTCAAACAAACCGTGTTAACCGTGACCATGGGACCTGTAACCGAAACGCTGGTTTGTTTGAAAAAACAAATATACGCGATTTAAATCCGGGAAAATAGTTTCATTTCCTATGACATAAAATTCATTATGTGATATACAATTTCGCTACAAAAATTCATTTCGTTCCGTAGCAATGTAGATTGAGCCTAAGACACTGGCCAGATACCAACCAGAACGATGATGATGACGCAGGCGAGCGCAGACACGGCGTTCACGTAGTTGCGTAACTCGAAGATGGCGGGGCGCAGACATCCGCTCGCGTTACCGGCATTAACACACGGCTCGCGCTGTGGACAATGCCTCAAATATGTCACCTAATCAACAACATCTGCGTCATTGACGCGCAAGGCAATTATTATATATGTATCTTAGTGCCTGATCTGAAGTTACAAAATTCCTGAATCATGCTAAATGTCCATAAGATTACTTTACTTTTACGTAGATTATGTACACCAATCATTAATGTTGCTAGGTGTTGTAAAATACATTATTAAGTATAGAATCGGCGGAGCAGTGGCGTAGCGTGGGAGGTGCATAAAGGGCGTAGCGTGGAGCCATGGGGCCGCGGCGAGCGCGGCCGAGCCCTAACTAGTCAAAATTATTATTTTTTTACTTAAAATTAGAAAATAAATTGAAAAATAAAAAGTAATTGAGAAAACGATATCCTAAATAATACAAAGGTGGCGACGGAAGGCGAGCCTGCCCGAACGCTACTACTTTTGAAATCATGCAATTAGAGAAGGCAGCAAATTTAAGGTTGGGCCCGGGCGACAGAAATCGACGCTACGCCTCTACGGCGGACACCGTGGGCAGAAACAAGCAAAAGCTGTGGAGAAATAAACTTCATCTAATTTTTTTTTTATAATATCAAGTGACTGGACGAAAAGTCGTGCGCCTGATGGTAAGCTACACGCCTGTCCATAACAGTTGCAGTGCCACTCAGCTGTTTAAATCACAAAGATCTGGGGCGCACTGCCACTGCGTCGGTTACCCTGCGGCTTAAGTTGACAAGTCTCATGTGCCTGTAATTTCGCCAGCACCCTTATCCTTCTAAACCAGAACGCAGTAATGCTAACATTACTGCTTGGCGGCAGAAATAGGTAAGGTGACAGTACTTCACAAGGAGCATTACTTCATCTAGAATAGAATCATAAGATCGAATCGCAGTAATTATTGAGTATTTGAGAACTATTATTAGGTACCTAACCAATCGGCAATACAACCGAGGGTAATAGAAACATATATAATAGAAGATACTCCATAAAAGAAAGAAAAGAGAAGTGGGAAGTATGAGATAACCTTTCCATTAAATACGCGGTTGCAACAAGAAGGTGGTAGGCTGCGGTGATGTTCGTACCAGTCCATGTACGAGGAGACACCGCAACATTGCAGCTGTAATTGAAATAAATTATATTAATTGTTTTACCGTGAGCTTTCCAACTATTAATGCTATGTGGAATGTAGATTTCCGTCTCTTTTTTCTTTTTTTACAGTTCGGCACATTTGTGCGCTCAAAATTTTATAATTGAATAGGTACTTTTCCCACAGACTTAACATGTAGACCTCGGAGAAAATCCAAAATTATGCTTCGCCACATATAGAGCTCTACTTTTATGCTAGTTAAATTTTTTATTGCCGAGTAATCCAATTCGGAAATTGTGCAATTTGAGTGAACGCCAAGAAAGTTTCGTTGCCTCTCGCTACACTTCCCATCATTGTTTGTCTGGCTGTGAACCTGCCGCCGTACCACAACGATTACCATTCTGGACTACCACGTTCCCGTTTTCGATTCCCAGGTCAGGAGAAATATTTGTATAGCCTACATTTATTTATCTTGTGACTTTTGCGTGTAATTTGTGGTTGTCTATTAATGTGTCCATGGTACCCGCGATACAGTTTTCTTAGTGCGGGGCTATGAGTGTGTGCGTTATTGTTATTGTTCGATTTGGTTTCGGGTTTTTTTTATGATAGCAGGTGACGTTAGGAATAAGTAAGAAATACATAACAGTGCAATCACAACGATCGAAGGAGTATTGCCACTGCGCCCGTGACCTTGAGACATAAATTAACAAGTCTGATGGTGTCCGTAATTTCATCAGCACCTTAAAGCTGTACTTCCCTGGGCGAACTCTTTGATTAGGAACTTTATTAAACCGTCGGGTGTTCTAGAAGGCTGAAGCATTCATCCAGGAAATGGGTAATGATCTGTGTAGTTTTACGTTAGCAATTATCATTTTTTTATGGGACCAGGCTAAGTCAACGGTACGCCACTTTAAAGTAGCCATAATGAGGCGATAAGTATAATCACGTGCATTAACACGTATACATGTAGCGCAGTAACAATAAAGTAATCTCCGGCAATGTAATTTGAATGATTGACATGTTAAATTAAACAAGACAACACGAACAACTCAACATGGAATATTTTTGTTACAAATGTAATACTTTTGATTTGGATCTGTTCAATACGAGTGTGATTTCGGCAATGAGTTTCCTCTGTAGTTTTTTTAGTGTTTTATATAATAAGTTAGGTAAATTGTGCATTCAGATTCCTTATTATATTTTTACTTGTGAGGACCTTTAATTAGCTCTGTTGTTATTAATATTATTTAATTTAGTTTTAAGCTGTTGATCTTCCTTTAACTAAATAAATAAATAAACAAATATTATTTCTGCTGGAAACTGGCTAATGTGACGGAAACAGATCTTATTCCATATTGTGATATTTTATTTTATTTCTTTTTTAATTTTATTTATTCGGGTCAACAACAGTTTACATTCACAAGAGTGAAAACACACAAGGAATTATACTAATTTAGTAAAACTAATGAAAGTTAATCATACTTTACAATTTGAAAAATTAAAAAGCAAAGTCTTGTCCAAACAACTGAATAATTGGGTGTCTTTGTCTATCCTTGTGAAGCGAGACTGTTTGTGTGGATAGTGTATGCGTGGGTAGCGTTTGTGTGGCGTGTACACTCAACGAATCAATTATGAGATAAATATGCAATAAATGTACAGAACGTAAAACATACAAATTAATAAAATGAAAAATAAATAAAATATGCTACAAATTAAAATTAAATTATAAATTCTAAAAATAATGTATAATGTGATATAGTGTAGTGTAGTCCAATGCAATGCAGTGCAGTGCAGTGTAGTGTAGTGTAGTATAGTGTAGTATAGTGTAGTGGAGTGCAGTGCAGTGCAGTGTAATGTAATGTAAAGTTCATACGTTACTTCTAATTATTTATACTATATACTTTGTTTAATGTTATAGTGATATCGTATCGTTATATTCTTAAACAGTTACAATGGGTATTTCCTACGAAAATATAATCTCAGTTTCGCTACGCGTATACATATTGATGTACGTGATTTGTGCTTACTACCTAATTCGCATATGTCGTATGAACAAATCGATGGTAAGACGTCATCAAAATTAATCTTCAATGCAAAAATCTGGGTGTTATTTATTGCATTTACCGATGACATAGCTGTAGTTACAGAAAGAAGAAACCAATTGGAAGCTCTACTCAATAGGATGAATCAAACTTTAAGGAATTTAATCTGACAAATGTAAGACCAAAGTACGTGAGGCGCGCTATATAAGTTTCCGGAATGAATAAGAAAAAATACTATAAATTATGATCAGAAATGAATTTATTGTTTCTCCAAATATTCTCCATTAGCGTTAATGCACTTTTTCACACGCATGAACCAACTTTAACAACATTTATGCCACTCTTTCCTGACAATCCCTGAAACATAATTTTCATACTCTTCGACAGCCTCTTCAGTGATGAAAATCATTGACCGCGGAACTGGTTCTTAATTTTTGGAAATAAATAAAAGTCACAAGGTGCCAGGTTGGGACTGTACGAGTGATGGCTCATAAGGTCAACGTTGTTCACCTTCAAAAATTCATTTGTCTGTCTGGCCGTGTGAGAACTGGCATTATCATGGTGCAAGATTATGCGGTGTTTACGGTTATTTTTATAGAGTTTATCAATAACTTCCAGCAAAAAAATGGTCGTGTACCTATCACTATTCACGGTACAACGATTCTCCAAAGCAACAGTAGCCACGTGTCCAGTTTTATTAAAAAAAGAAGTAATCATCCGCTTAGAGGCACTTTGCACGCGCGCCACTTCGGTTGGTTTCGGCTCATTTCGAAAGACCCATACGCTCGGTTGCTGCTTTTGTTTTTGGGATCGTAACTATAAATCCATGTTTCGTCACCTGTTACTATGTCCCACACCAAATTTGACGCCCCTTCGTTGAATCTGGTAAATCGTGTGGGATCCACCAAGAGCACAGCTTTTACACTCAAATGTTAGTGTAGTATTAATTGTATTTAACTCATGCCTATGCCTAAAGATGCCCGAATCTCATGGTATGTCACATGCCTGTCTGTTTTGATCACACGGCGCACAGCATCGCTGTTTTTGTTGTTCATAGCAGTGGACGGGCGACCATCACAAAATACGTCACTGAGATTTACACGACCACGTTTGAATTCTGCAAACCAGCCATAAATAGTCGTCTTGCATGGTACTTCATCGCCAACAGTTTGAAGCCGAGGGAAGCTCCGCTGAGCTGTTAAATTACACTTGTACTACGAAAATTTTCACGAGTTAAATCCTTGGTGATGTAGACAACTAATTTCTAAAAAGACGCTGTTCACAGGAATATGATATTTAATGATTAACCTCTAAATATATTATTTTGTTGCTGGTACCTACCTCGAGCTGCATAGCAGCGAAAGCGCTCTTGACTGCGGTATCAAAATGTTCTCGCGAAAGTTGTCGACGCATGCTCACGTTCAACAGATCGGGTTCACGCAATACACGGGACAACCCAGTTAGCGACGTTAGGCCTGTAGACAGCACCAATAACGCTCCCGTGGCCAGGAACATCAGCTGTTACAACGTACAACAAGTGAGTAAATTCCTAATACATGACACAGTATCAAATAATAGTCATTAGGGATTATTTGTACACAAAATACTAATTCTTATTCTTTTATTATACATACTACTATCAATTCTACTAATATTTGTGAACATGGCATTTGAAATTGGAAAATTTATTTAAATGTTAATTATATTACTCAGTCGTTTTGGACAAGGTTTCGATTATAAGCAGTGATCGGAATTGAGAGAATTAATCTAGCTATAATAATGAATAATGTGGACAATCTCTTCTACAAATCCCGAGACTTCTGAACTGATTATATTTTAATATGTGTAATATTTATTGAAGTTTGACAAATTGGCGACATATTATTATTTGCTATTAAGTAGAAAACCACTCTGAGACTCGGACACATTAAGTAACTTAACGGATAACTCATCATTGAGGACCACGAACTGATTCGAAATATGTCGAGCAAAAATTTGATTTAAATACGTGAGTTATCCGTTAGTTCAGTTAATACATTCCCATTAAGTATCTGCTACAAATTATTTTCTCAAAAAATAATATTGTAGTGTGTTTCTGTAGTTACTTACATATTAAAATACTCAGCCATTTAAAAAATAAACATAAAACGTTATTAAATGAAACATGAAACGGAATCACGTATATTTTAGAATGTTGAGAAAATAAACAATAACTATACAGATTGATGATGAAATGAGTATGTCCATACTAAGAAAATGTTCATACTTTAGGTACATTAATTCCCTCAATTCCGATCACTGATTATAAGAGAGCTCTTATTGTATCACAAATAGGTATATTATGTACTTATTATTGCACCCAATCGAGTAGTGACAAGCTACGCGATTGGTCTTATTACGTACAGTCGCGAGTAGTGACAGGCTACGCGGGTGGTAAGGTACGAGGGTGGCCAACCAGCACGCAGGCAGGCACAGTACTGCACCAGCTACAAACAGCACTCCCGTGCCCAACTCTGTGCCCAGGTCTGACGTCCAAAAGTAGTAAGACATGCGCATCAAGCTCCATGCTGTTGACCCTCCAAGAATCGCACCGCCGCTCTGCGACACACCAACGCATGACACTCGACAAAAACATAATGTTATTAAATCCAGCACACACACAGCAAAAGAGTACGTATAGCTCTAACTCTACCTCAAAACGTTGAGTGGCAGACTGCGTCATGACTTGGACTACGAAACAACAATCGCCCACCGATTATAGGAAAAGTGGCTGCACCCTGTTGAAATTTGGGTGCATAAAAAATCGTGCCCGGGACAATTTTGCTAATATTATATTCTAATATAAATTTATTATCTCTTAACGATCAGTTTTTAAATTCAATTCTCAATAATCAATACTTTTATGGCGTACCATAATGGTATACAAGGTGGTAGATAAATGAAGTCATAACGGACTCAACAACAAAAACCTTTAAAGGAAAGAGTACCCTTCCTTAAAGTAATTATAAACTTTTTTCAAACTCAAATAATCTTTATTTCATAGACAATCATATTACACTTGAAATCATCTCATCCGTAAGGCAGATTCCCCTGAGATGAAAGAGCAAGAAACTCTAGAGGTTGCTCTTTTTTACAATTTACAATATTTATTTCAAACATCACAGACCGAAACTACTTTTTTTTGACGGGGGAAATATTTATGGATACCCCAGACCGAAACTACCTACAAAGCAAAAGGGGTCACTCCCACGGATTTGTCATCCAAGTACGCAGAGGCTGTATATTACAAAGCCTTTAGTATAAATAAAGTTTTTATTTCACTGTAGTTTTAAACGTCGTGAATGGCAAGTTTTGAATACCAACTAGAATTTTATTAAAGAAGCATATACACATTGCCCTCTAAATGAATTTGTGATTTCGTAAAGACGACTATCAAGAACAACTAGTTTAGCTTTATTTCTCGTATGAGTGATATGTTTGTCACTAAATAGTGACATTAGATTGGATAAATATCCAATCTAAATATTAATAATACACATAGTTCATGTGTATTTTGAACACTTTTTGTAATATAGTTTAATTATTCATATATCATTAACTTCATTATTCTTTTTTCATATCTAACATTGTTAAATACATCTACAGTATGTACTTATTAAATATAGGATATGATACTCTTATCATTTAAGTATTCATGCAGTGTTTAGCAATTTATTACAATTAAATGTGTTTATAACTTGTATCTACATTTTGTATCTCTTCTTCATGTGTATTTAGTAGTATATGTTTTACAGACTACTTAGACTGTGGAATGTTAATCGTGAGGTATTACAGACCCTGTTTCACATTTAAAATTATTTTATCTTTGTGTCGAAAGGAATATTTGGTAGGGACATTTTCTTGATTTATATATAAATTAATATTTTTCCGAACCTAGATTCGGTACCACTACTACTTATATACAGGCTACCCTAGGGTAGCCTGGTATAAGAAGAGGCATCTGGAGGCAGATCATCAAGAGGCAGAGAGGTAGATTGTTTTTGCTAGACGGCGAAGTTGCTCAACTAATTTCATTGTCATTTTGTAGTGCTAGGAAATGGATAAATTGTTGTGTGGAAAAATATTAAAAAAATATTGAAAATTAAAATTGAAACCCCGTGATTAGTTATAATTACTTTACGCGTCATAATGTAAGAGTCAGATTAATAGACTACTAACTAAAACAATTGTTGATTTTCTAACACTTCGTTTTCATACTACACCGCCTCAAACCTTAAGGCCTTATTCAGAGTGGCGACATTCGCGGGTGCGTGTAAATCAAATGTACGTAGACGCTCGTCGCGTTCACAGTGGCTGAACGTGCCGGCGGCGCCTGTGACGGGACGGCGCGGGCGCGGTGACTCGTGTAACGCGCGGGTGGATCTATTGGCTCAGTCCGCCAATACCATTCACAGTGCTTAGTCTAGCGTCTAGCGTTTGTTAGCAAATTCGACGTGTGGATTTAGGTTTTAGTCACTTCGGCACTGTGAAAGGGAAGATGCCAACAAAAAGACCTTTGCGCCCGCACCGGCCGCCGCGCCCGCGCCGGTACTCTGAAGAGCCCTAAGTGCCCTATTTCCAAAGTGCATGGCAAAGTAAGATCTTTCTCGAGATCTCTTTTATATAGTTCAGAATTCAAACAAACTTTTTTGAAGAGTAAGCAGAATTGGTCTATCATTATGACCCCACAGGACGACACTGCAGCTTAGTCAAGCATAACATAAACGCAAGCGTAGTAAGTAATCAGCGTTGTTTGTAGGTGCTTTTTTATTTCACTAAATGGATGGATATATGGATATTTTATTTTTTATTTTTATTAAAATGCGCCTTCTATTAAGTTGGTGTCAATAACTACGTCCAGCAAACTCTTACAAATTATTTAACTCACGAGTAACAAGCCGGCGCACACAAATAACACCAATCCACTGCTCCGCATTATAGTAGTTTCATTACTTTTTGTTTATTTCTATTCAAAATAAAGTATAATTTTAATAATTTTTAATTTTATTTTATGAAATTTCTTCTATCGCGGAAAATAAGGTATCAAATTGACATAAAAAAAATTTGAAAATCGATGCATTTTTTCTTCTGAAACGAACCAAGGAGTTTGTTGACATGAATTCCTTAAAACATTATTCAAATTACTCCACCAATAAAAATTTATGAGATTATTGTATACCGTAGACTTTTAAGAAATTTCTTGGTTATACACAATTTTATCCTTGTCCTTGTTATAATAAAGCCACAGTGAAACATAAAAAAGTGCTTCTATCACACGAAAGCCATAAAAATAATGCAAACTACATGAAACAAATTAGGTATAATATATGTGAAATTTTATAATTGTCATGCCTACGCATAAAAAAATTATCAATCTATTTCGTTCATAGAATCTTTAAGCTTCTCTACTGAAAAGCCGATTTGTTTACGATTCTGTAATAAGGCTCAATTTGCTAGGGTGCGAATTATGGGATTCTTATTCATATAAGTAATTGCGTTATCTGTTTTTTTTTTTAAAATAATTCGCATCAAATCCAATGTCATGCTTACTAAAGGTATAAACGCCTATGTCTAATCGATCTGTCTCAATTAACGTCAATACGTATTTCAAAATTTCTAATTAAAGCCTTCACTATAGTGTGCTAGTTACTTTACACTGATGTACCTACAGTTACCGATATGAAGTGGTTGATATTATGCTTTATTAACTTTTTCGTAATTAGTAACTGCATAGAAGATTCGGTTTTTGAATTCGGTAACATAAATATTGAACATATTCCTTATATAGTACAAAATATTATAAAAATGTCCATCTGTCAATAACTACTAACATGTGTTTAGTAAACGTTGTAATCACATTTGCGTTTCCAGGTGGAAGCGAAGGGCAACAGGTATGGAACTCTGAGGGTTCAATTGGTCCTGCAGTCGAAAACAGACGCACCGTTGTTCATTATACTGTAAGCCCTTTTTACTAATTCAGTTTCTTTATACAAAATACCTTTATATATGTATATGTATATATACACCTACATCTCTTAACTTCAACATCACTCATAACAACGGCCGTGTTTCCACATTTACCACATTTCCATATTACGTATATTCAAAGGATAACTACCTAATTATTTATACATACACATATTTACAGTTGCCGCCATGCTCAAAAATGTCGCACATCAAAGTGGTAATCCACAATCCGCGATGGCGACCATCAGTTTCGGTAGACGCGGTAAAACAACAAGTCGCTATATTCTACCGCTACAACCACAACAGTGAATCTACATACAAGATCTCAGTGAGCGCGGTCACCGACACAAACTGCACGTCAACGTCAAATGTCGTCGATAATTCTAATGGAGAATCCAATGACTCTAAACCCGATGGCGAATATGCTGATGATGAGGAGATACATGAAGAAGAAAAAACCACGAAGACCCAAGAGTATACAATAATGAATGAGGCACAGGACAAGAAAGACACACGAGCCTCGATTAAGGCACAGGACAAGAATGACGCACAAGACACTGATGAAGCGACAGACAAGAATGACGCACAAACCCACAATGACGCGCTAGACACGATTGATGCACAGGAGGTGAATGAGGCACAGAGCGCGAAGGACAACAAGCAGGAGTCGGGGCATACCGAGAGTCTCAGAGCAGCAAGGGCAATGCCATCATCGCGCGCTTTGCGCTATGGTGATTCCAAACCAAAGCACTGTGAGTATTGTTGTCCTGGTACAGGCTGCCCCAAGGTGTTCTATGCTTTGCCGCAACCCCGAGATTTCAAACCTATCGACGACGAATCGATATTTACTCGGAGGAAAACAAAAAGATCGTATAGTAGACTATTGCTGAAAAAATAGCTAACTCGTAATTAGTGATAAAGTAGTTGCAATTATAAGGTTGTTTGTTATTTTGAAAAACAAGTTTATATTCAAGTGTACCTAAACTAGGTATCTAGGAATATACTCAATAAGTATAACTTTAGGACTACCTAGTGTTGGATAATGAAAATTTCCATTTTGAAAAATTCATATTGTTCCCTTTTTTCCACATTTCACAGTTGACACCAGTCAAAAGTTGACGATTCTGAATTAATACAAGTTCGAACGTTGAATTAGAACGTTGCTCAATCATTTTATATCTCGTCTTACTGTAACTTGTTTTTAACTATACATTTTTATTTCATAATTAATGCTAAATGTCTCGTAGAGGACATACGGACTTTAAATTAAACTATTTCACAGGTTTAATTACTGGCTTAAATGCAATTTTGAATTTTAGTATAATACGAGAACCGAGCAGAGCGAAGACCGAAAGTGAATGAAATTTATGTGCGGTAGTTATACAAAAAAGACAAGCAGGCAAGTTAGCGCCTGGTGAATTAGTTTTAGCAATAACTAAATAACATGTACAAATAAGCTCAAATGAACTACTAAATCAACACTAAATAAAACTTCAAATAAATAATATGAACCTATTAACTGCCTCCATGGTCGAACGGTTACCATGCCGGACTGCCACGCAGAGGTCCCAGGTTCGATTCCCGGACCAGGAGAAATATTTGTAAGGCCTACATTTATTTCCCTCGTGGGTGTAATTTGTGGTTGTTTATGTGTGTGTCCATCCATAGCACCCGCGACACAGGGTTTCCCTAGGTATGTTGAGTGTGTGCGTTATTATTATTACATTTTGCCAGTTTTTCAAAAATAGTGGTTCAAGTAAAGATGGAAGTATAGTAGTGACCTATATTAAATGAATATCTTTAGGCTCATTCGTTTTTGTGTAGTTTCAGAAAATAAATTTAATAGTGATTAGCTTAATCCCTTGTTAATTTGCAAGATAGATAAGTAGATTGAATCGATAAAAATCTCTGATAAAATTAAAGGCCGACATGATTTTTCGACGAGGTTTAGGGCGCGTTCAAATTAGCCGCTGTTAGCCGCGCTGCAGCAGCACTACAGCCGCGCGACTGCCGTGCGATTGTCACTTTTCATACAATTTCTGGAAGCGCTGCAACCGCGCGGCGGTTGCGCGACAGTCACGCTGCAGCCAGACTCGGTTGCATCACGGTTAGTGAGGTGTACATGTTAATTTTTCAAATTAACTACGATGGACCAAAATCGAGTAGAAGAATTTATAGAGAATGCAGAGCAACACCTTCCAATATGGGATATCAGTTCCGCCAGTTATTTTAATCGATTGGAAAAAAAGGCATGAGAAAATTTATGTCTAAAATTTATTGACAATTTTGAAACTAAAACTACAATTGAAAAAACATAACAGGTTGTGAGTAATTTTTAATATCTATACGTGAAGTGTGTGCCCCAAGAACTCTGACCCCCCTAAATATACCTTTTGGTTCTGAATACAAGTGTGAAGAATAGTGTTAAACAAACGTAAAAATCCCATAAAAACCCGTAAACAAGGCGAAAACTATTTACAAATATTTTTCATAAATCGAGTTTTGTAACTATTTAAAGGTAGTATTCATTATGATTATTTTGACAAAATAAAGGTAACGAACGAATTCTAAAGGTGTCTACGAAATGTCGTAGACACCTTTAGAATTCGTTCGTTATCGATCGACAATGGTCGATCACCATCGAGAATTATAGGCGTTTCGAGTTGTTTGGGAGTACTCATTGAGAATGTGGCATTCATTTCTAAATCCAAGATGGTTGCCAAGAATTTTCAAAAATATATTTTCGGTAATCCTTATTGAAATGGCATTTATATCTGAACACATGATGGCTGACACAACTTTTCGCATTTCTAAATGCAATATGGCGGGTACGATTTCTCAAATAATGGCAAATCATAATGAGCACTCCCAAATACCTCGAAAACAATATCCAACTTGCCATTATTCGAAAAATTGTGCTCGCTATCTTGTATTTAAAAGTGAGTGCCATATTCATATTGAGCATCCCCAAATACCGCGAAACAGATACCCATATTGCATTTTTTTGAAAAATTGTGTCTGGCATCTGGGATTTAAAAATAAGTGCTATATTCGTAATGAGCATCCCCTAATACTTCGAAAACGATACCCAACTTGTCATTATTCGAAAAATCGTGCCCGCCATCTTGGATTTAGAAGTGAGTGCCATATTTGTATTGAGCATCCCCTAATACTACGAAACAGATACCCATATTGCATTTTTTGAAAAATCGTGTCCGCCATCTTGGATTAACAAACAAGTGGTTATATTCGTAATAAGCACCCCCAAATATCTCGAAAACGATACCCAACTTGACATTATTTGAGAAATCGTGTCCGCCATCTTGCGTTTAGAAAAGTCGTGTTAGCCATCATGTATTCAGATACAAATGCCATTCCCATAAGGATTACCAAAAATAAATATTTTGAAAATTCTTGGCAACCATCTTGGATTTAGAAATTAATGCCACAATCTCAATAAGCACTCCCAAACAACTCGAAAACGTCTATAATTCTAGTTGTCGATCGATAATGTCGATTATACGTTGTCGATTATATTCATGGGTGAATATCAACAAATTAATTTTATTGTAAATTTTGGGGGCGCAATTTTAATTTTTGATTTTCCAGTATCAGAGACTCATTTGCAATAAAATGAAACATTTTATTTATATATACGTGACCCATTTCTATTAATTTCAGAGATACAAGCAATTAAAAATTTTTCTCACCACCAATACTTAGAAACGCCACCAAAACGCTTATCGGTTGCACCAGAATTGAATATTGCCACCAAAGTTGGAGTATACATAAAAATTGAATTGTGATAAAAATTTGTTTGCCCCTTTAAAACGACGCACAGTTGGAACTTTCTTTTGTTTTTTCTTTTTAATGTCATGTGACAGGACGAACGAGTCATGCGCCTGATGGTAAGCTACACGCCATAACAGTGGCAGTGCCACTCAGAGCTTTAAATAAGCAAAGATATGAGGAGCACTGTCACTGCGCCCGTCACCCTTCAAAACCGGAACACAGTAATGCTGATATTACTGCTTAGCGGCAGAAATAGGTAAGGATTTTAGGGAATGAGTTCATTGTTGCTTTAATTGGCAGTTGAAGAACTATGATACACAACGCCATCTCTACGAATGTTTCCTAAAGATAAGTTGTAGAAACCCAAATGTTTGCCATGAGGACATACGGTAGGTTTGTCCGGACATTGAGGCATGATAAGGCATCATCATCATTCACAGCCTGATTTCACCCACTGCTGGGTATAGGACTCCCGAAGTTTGTGCCATCCATCACGGTCCCGTGCTAGCCGCATCCATTAACGCCCCGCGACGCGTACTATGTCGTCGACCCACCTTGCAACAGAGCGCCCGACGCTTCTTTTGCCCATCCTCGGCCACCAATCAGTCGATGTTTTGCTCCACCTGTCATCACCTTGCCTAGCTAGGTGTCCCGCCCAGCCCCATTTGAATTCCATGATCCGAGTTCCAGCATCCTGGACTTTCGTCCATCGTCGGATCTCAACGTTCGGAACTCGATCTACAAGGCTGATGCCGAGTATAGCGCGCTCCATGGCCCTCTGTGCAACTCTCAACCTGTAACAGTCTTCTGCGTAAGCGTCCACGTCTTGTCACCATACGTCACGGTGGGCAGAGCACATTGATTAAACAAGCGGGTCTTCAGACACTGTGGAACCTTACCTGATTTAAGGATGTCACCTAACTTGATAAGCGCAGCCCATCCCAGCTGGATTCTTTTTGAGATCTCTTTAGGCCGATGCTTTTTGCCAAAGGACAGAACATGTCCGAGATAGACGTACTGACCGACTCTCTCCAGCCTCTCATTTCCCACCGTGACAGTGGTATTTGAGGGAATGGAGAGATTCGCCATAATCTTCGTCTTGGACATATTCATCCTTAAGCCAACTCTCAAAGAAGCATCATATAGTTCTTCCAGCATCCTTTGGAGATCGTCGAAACTTGCAAATAGCACGAGATCGTCCGCAAATCTTAGGTGAGACAAATGGTGTTACACCATTGATGTTAATGCCGCGGTTATCCCATTTAAGGGTTTTTACTACATCCTCAAGTGCTACTGTAAATAATTTTAGGGAAATGGTATCTCCTTGTCTCACTCCTCGCCGGATTGGAACGGGATTGGTTAAATCGTGAACTCGTACCTGCAGAGTGGCTGAACGGAGGAGCTCCCGGGGCACATCCACGTAGCGGAATCGATGTGGCAGCAATGGAGAGTGTGGAATACGGCCCAATGTTCGATACTGTCAAAGGCCTTCTCATAATCGACGAAGGCCGGTTGAATTCGAGACATTTCTCCATCAGCTGATTAACCGTGTGGATATGGTCGATGGTTGAGAAACCGCTCCGAAAGCCAGCCTGCTCAATAGGCTGCGCTTCGTCAAGTTCACTGGTAAGCCAGGTGGTCAAAATCTTTGTAAAAAGTTTATAAATCTGAGAGAGCAAGCTAATCGGCTGGTAATTGCTAAGTTTTGCAATGTCGCCTTTTTTGTGAATGATGGTGACGTTGGCATTCTTCCATTGCTCTGGTGTTCGAACCTCATGAAGAACTTTGTTAAAAAGTTTCACAAGTACTTTTACCACAGGATTTCCTCCTGCTTTGAATAGTTGTACTGAAACACCATCATCTCATCATCGTCAGATGGTGTTGAAAAGGCACTGAGCACTAATTTAGTACTTTTTCTCCAAATAACCTGAAGAAAATTCATGTTACTAATATAGTAAAGAATGAGCCAGTCTTTTTGAACAATTTCGTAATGTACACGTTTAACTGGAATATTATTACCGGTAGCTTTTAACGCCAGATGATCGAATCAATGTCAGTAATGTCATTCCCAAACGATACTGATTTAGTTATAATTGTACCAAGTGTTATTTCTTCAGGTAATTTGGAAAAAAATAACAACTCTAAATTAGCATTCTGTGCCTTATTTTGCATCAAGCCTCAATGTCTCGATAAACCCACCGCATGTTCTCATGATAAACATTTGAGTTTCTACAATTTATCTTCAGAAAACATTCCTGGCGATAGCATAGTTATTCAACTGCCAATGAAAATAACAATGAACAAATTTTTCGTGTTTGACGTACTCAACAAAATCATTTAATCAATGATATCACCGTTAATTTAAGTAAAATACAAATTTAAAGATCGCTAAATTCAAAAATATCATAACAATTTAATGTTTGGTGGCGTTTTTAAGTTAAAATGGTAACACAAACGCCACCAAAACCACCAAATTTGAGCCACGTAAGATGAAGTCTGTGAAGTCTCAAAAAATAAATTACGGAAAAAAAAAGTAATGGCTTAAAAATCTAACCGAGACGATTAAATTGTGATAAAAT